TACACCCAAGTATTACATCTATATATGTAAACTATATATGCCTTGTACGCGTGCGTAGATGTATATGCATATAATAAGCAAATTAGTTTGCATCGAATTCTCTTTTTCATTTCGATTGCAACGTTCAGACGAAGATTTCCTCCTAGGAGTATTCATCACGAAAACAGCTGCTATGCACTGCATTCCTTGTTGCTTTTTCCACTTTATTCTTTGCTTTTTGCTTCCCACTGTATTCTTTGTTGACTCCTTTTCTTCTACTGCAGACTTCGTTTGTTGCATCCTACTGTATTCTTTGTTTGTTGCTTTTTATACTGCAGTATTTATTCGTTACTTCCGCTGTATTCTCTGTTTGTTGCTTCTTGTACTGCAGTCTCTGTTTGCAGTTTCTGTCACTGGATTCTTTGTTTGTGGCTTTTGCACTTTATTCTTTGTCTTTTTCTTCTTTCAATGCATTATTTGTTCAGCTGATATTTTCTTCTGCGGGAGATGACACTTGAAACAAATTCATTTTGGTTGCAATACGAAACACAGAAAAAACGAACGTAATAATGCTAACGCACCAACCAGAACTAGATATAGATGAATCCACGAGATCGGCAAAAAAAACACACACACACACACTATATATATATATATATATATATATATATATATATATATATATATATATATATNAACACACACACACACACTATATATATATATATATATATATATATATATATATATATATATATATATATATGAATGCCATGGGAATGCTAGACTGTTGATATCAGTGCAACAAAGACGTAAACAAGTCTGCAAAGAAGATGATGCATTTAAGAATTGCTTTTTACGTTTCGCAGCGGGTTTGTTACCCGAGGGCCAGTTGTTATACCGTACCGTAGTCAACTAAAGAAATACAGCTACAGCAATATTCAATATTCAGTTTACATATCGCTAGAGAGTCCTGGCTTCTGCTCTGTTTTCACAGCAAAAAAAACCGCGTACTGTAGACTAAGAAGAGTGACTACTACTCTCAATCCTAGAGAGGAATCCCTTTCGAACTCACAAAGCGCAGATATACCTAAGTTATCGAAGCTAGTAAAAGCAGCAGCAGAGGCAGCGGTGCCAGTAGCCGCAGGGCTACCTGTAGCAGCAGCAACAGCATCAGCAACTAGAGGTTACCGAAGCACTACGGAGGAAAAATACAACTGCGCTTTCGCCGTTCAAATAATAAATAAAATGCAAATGAATGTCCGGGGACAAAATACCCTCAAATGGCCTGCAAAGCTCATGTGTTTTGACTGAACAAGCAGATGCGCCCCAGTCTAATAAAGACCGTAGCGAAATAATAAATGTGAGACCTCTGCGTGCCTTGATAATAAATGTGGTAACACCTCTGAACGGTGTAAACACGATAAAATGAGCTTGCTGTACTTGAAACGAGTATAAAACTAGAGAAGCATGTATAGTCCCCCCTATACCCCCAGTTCTCATCAGCTTTGCGCCTACCACTTGCCGCAGAACACAGCAACAACGCAGCAAAAGCAGCAGCGGTAGGCCAACAATGACACCCGGGTAAGATGAGCAACGGTTGTGCTCGAATCCCCCTCCGGGGTTTAGGGTTTAGGGTTTAGGGTTTGGCAACTCGGCGCAAAACGAGGACTCCATTCAAGTTCCACCTCTCCTGCAAGCGCTGGTAATAAATAAATCAACGAAAACAGGATTGATAGCCCCAGGAGTCCCAAGCGCAGCTGACCCACCACCACCATCATCATCATCATCCATGATCATCATGATCACCACCACCACCACCACCACCACCACCACCGGCAGCTGCCCCCCACAGCTGGCTAGCCCCAGTTTTCTGTCTCGGCTAGCTACGGATTCCAAAACCGTGAGGTCGCCCGCGGTGGCGGCACGACATGAATAGGGGAGATGGGAGCGTAAGGAGAGGATTGAGAGGCGGCCGCCCCAGCTCGTCCTCGTGCGGGAGTTGAAGTCGAAGTCGAAGTCGAAGTCGTAGTTTCTGTTTCTCCGGTTCTAGAAGAAGGCAGCGTCGCGCCAGTGGAGCTTGGAGATGCCGTCCGCGAAGGCCCTGATGGGCTGCTGGGTGCTGCGGGAGTAGAGCTGCCAGCTTGTGGACTTGCTGCTCCCCGTTCAAGAGTAAAAGAACGGCTGGCCACTCCCGACTCATCGGGAGATGTGGGTGACGCTCCCCGGGCGTCTTCCTTCTTTGCTTCTGGCTTCTGTGAAATAGCGGTTCTAGCCTCTGCAGCAGTAGCTGCAGCAGCAGCAGCAGCTGCTGCAGCAGTCCTAGTAGTAGTAGTTGTAGTCGTAGTCGTAGTAGTAGTAGTAGTAGTAGTAGTGGTAGTAGTGGTAGTAGTAGTGGATGTGCGCCTCCTCTCCTCCTCTGGATCAGGAGGGGGGAGAACTCGCTTAACGATAGGAATCCTGGCTTGTCTCTGGTAGAAGTCTGGGTTTTCTTGGAAGAAAAGATGTAAAAATGTTTCTTTTTCTAATTCTTCCTGTTCAGGTAGACCATCGAGAAGATCTTTGAAATTTGCAACAATTTCTTCGGCGGAAATGCGTTTGTTGCGGTCGGGTTCAAGCAGACGTCTTATGAGCTCCTGCCACCTATAGTGGATGCCTTTGTACTGCATGTCTACTGTCAGGCTATCCGGGTTAGCTGTGTTTCTAAGCTGTATCACACGAGCTACAGCCTCCTCGCTAGCAGATTGATCCGTGATGCCGAAGGGTAATTCCCCATCCATCATGATCTCATACAGAAGAACCCCCAAACTCCATAGATCGGACTTGGCGTTGGCAATGGGCTGCACCTCGCAGTCATCCATACACACAATGCTGGACAGCAGCTCGGGTTCCGTGTACGCTGGAGATACGTCAACATCACTGGGGATTAGCTCGTTGAAAGGAACACTCGATTCAAACCCAAACAGCACAACGGAGCCATCATCCTGCACTGCGAAGCTGCTGCTGTTGATCTGGTTGACGCTCCACCCAGCTTGTTGCATGTGCAGAACCGTCTTGAGAACATGACGCGCTAAGTATGCTCTAGTTCCCGTGGGGACCAAGCCCAAGGCGTCTATCACATCTCGCAGGGTGACCTGGATGGTGTTCATCTTTTCAACGGTAGCCAGGATACTCAAGTCCTTGATATGTAACACATCTGGCATGCCTCTTATCTTTGCGATTGCAGTGACTGCAGCCACACCCTTCTGCTCTGAAACAGCAGAGAGAGGAGTGCTGCCTCGAACTGCAAGAATGCTCTGGGCCGTCCGCACCATCTGGGGGGAGATATTTTTTTCCCCTGTAGACAGGATGGAGGGGGTTTCATCTTTGGGGATGGTATTGATCCGAATTGCAGATTCTTCTCGGGTTTCTACGTCCTGTACAGACACCATGATGCTGTTGATGCCTTCGCCAACGTACTTGTTCACAACGTAAGCGCGAGGGCTTTGCAAGGGCTTGCCGCTACCGACTTGTGTTATCAAGTCGAGCTCGATGGTCATGCCGATCAGCTGCGTAGACTCGCCATTTGAAACAGTCTTGGCCACCTCACGCATTATACGTTTTGCTTCAGGTGAAGGTACAGCGGGATCCTCTTCTTCGAGCTGGTTCACCAGCTCCCATAGAACACCCCGCACAACCTGCACAGTATGAGAGGTTCTTTCCTCTAGAGAGTCGACAGGAGGAGCCTTCCAAGAAGGCTCAGCAGGGGGAACTGCAGCAGGAGGTGGGGGGCGGCGTTTCACGAGGTCTGCCCAGGTTGGCTGTTTTTCATGCTGTCTGATTGTGAGATACATTAAACAGCCGAAGAGCAACATTGTTGGAAGTGTAACCGCCATAAATGTGAGCAAACTCCATTTGCGGCGGGTACGGTGTGTTTCAGACAATGGCATCATCCCCCCTGAATCAAACAATTCATCTTCGCTCATTCCTGCTAATTCCTCTTGGCCACTTGAGGCCTCTTCCGCCTCGGCTGCATCGGCAGCATTTGAACCATCTTCTGCAGGATTCTGAATTTCTTCCTGCTGTGGTTGTTCTATTTGCTTCATTTCCGATGGCATGCCCTTAGAAACGCCGCACAATACAGGTTTGCGTCCACATGTATATAGCAAAGAATACCCGTCTGCAGATGCAGACCAGAACCTAGAGTGTTATATTTGGCTTGAGTGGCACAGGATAAACTCCTGATCAGTGCGTTGTTCGGTTAGAATCTGAATGGAGATGCGACTGGCAGCACGAGCAGGCGCTCCCCAAAAGCTGCATTCAGATCGATCGACGCCGCGGAAGAGAAGTGAAGCTTTCAAAGGTTAAATTGCTCCACCAAATCCATAAAAAAGCTTTTATTTAAATTTAAAAGCCTAAAATTCGTCTCCTCCGGCCAACTCAAACGGTGAAGGGTGATTGCCGCCCCCTATGAACGGTTTCCGCAAGGTAGCTCAGAGAAGTCCGCGAAACGCTGGGTGGTATCGCCGGAAAGCTAAGGAATATCTATAAACATGCTAACTAGCAAAGAAAAATAAAAAAATGAATAAATAACCCTGCAGTGACGACTGCCAATTAACTTCTCCAGCAATGCCGCCCTCAGAAGGCCTGCGAAGAGAAAGAAAGACCCACGGGCCACCTACTATGCGAAAGGCGTTCAAAAACAGTCAAAAGGGCTATATATTTCACTTAATCAGAAACTTGAACCTTAAACAAAACGAAAATGCAGAAAGTGCAGAGGGATTTCTCCGCTTTGCAGCAGCGGTTGTTTTTGAACGTGATCGAGAGCCAAAGGCATCGAACGGGTCTGTTTCTGTTGCTGGCTATCGGACCATTGACACCATCCGGGATAGTGACTAGATCAATATAGTTATTCTCATACATTAACAGCTGATATTACGGGGGATGCAGTGTAGCTCAGAGATAAAAGCTACAGTTCGACTGACGAAACCTTACCGGAACAGCCCCCACTCGTACTACACGGGGGTTCAGTTCGTGGCTATTGGGTCATGCATACTGTGCTGGACAGCGACTAGGCCCCAATAGTTATTCTCGTTCACTAACTAACTGCTATCCCGGTGGGAGTGACTAGAAGCAGGGGGATCGCCGACAGGAGTTGGCGTTCCTGTCCCCATAGACAGTCAAACGAGGGCGTATGGGAGTAAACAGGAATATAAGGAATATATGGGGGCGATCGAACGGAACAAATCTGCTTCGTGGCCCCAAATGGTTCACTGAAAGTGTAGCTTTCCTCTATATTTGTTGCTTATACAGCCGGATCCATAGTGGAAAGCGATAGGAACTTTCTGTAGAAGCCAGCGCCCAACGATACCCAACTTGTATTGTAAGTAGGGCTAGAACAAAGCAGTAGTGTGAGAAACAATGCGGCTATTGCAGCATAAGCAGAAACTGCAGCAAAAGCAGCAGCAGCAACTGTTGCCTAGCTTTCATGCAACTGGTTAACTAGTAACACCCTCGTAGCTGAGATACGAAATTCTGTAGTGAGCAAAAAACACAGTTGTAATACCCCTATGGTTCGACAGGGGACCACCAGGTTTCTAGAGAGTTTTGCCCACACGTCAGCCCGAACCCTAACCCTAAACCCTAACCCCCAAAGAAGCGTATATATATATATATATATATATATATATATATATATATATATATTTCCGGTTGCCGTTCCTTTATATTCTCTCGTTACGATGTTGAGTATTTCAATAGCTAGACAGGAAACACTGCGCCAGCAGCCTGTCAGCCTGATCTATATATCAGCGGATGACGCCCTGACATCCTATTGACGAATATTTTCAAAGGAAATGAAATATATTTTATTGAAATAAAACAAGAGGAACAAAATATATATGATACAAAAGTAGACAGAACGATGAAAAAGATATATTCTTTTAGGTTCTGCACGCTCCTGGCTCGTCGCCATAGCAAGGCTCAATCGCGTAGCTTACTGCCCCCTTCTACCTCTGCCGGTATTCTGCTCAACTGTCTGTTTTAATATTTTTTAATCGAGTTAATTACTCTCCTTTTTATATTTTCACACATTAGTTTCTCTCTGGTTAGTGCAATATACTACTGACACCTCCGCTTAAAAGAGGTCCATTACTCGGCTTTATAATTTCATTATAAAGCGCTGCAGTACAACAGTATCTGCCGCCTATTTTGGCTGTCAGCAGAAACTTTGCCTGTACAAGAAAGTACCTTGCGTAAGCGTTATATGCAACAAAGCGGGAAAATAAGGAAGTGTTCGTTTCCAGCTATGACTCCATACAATGTCAGGTGCTTACAGCATCCCGAGCAATCTATAGAAAAGCTATTTCCTTTCTTTTCTGCTTTTCTTCAGGGTCACTTGGCACGGGAATTTCTCCCCATTACAATAACAATAACAATTGGCTGTTCGCTTCTAGTTCACCTTTCTTTGTTGAATGCAGCAGTTGTCATATCGCATCAACTGCCGAGTAAATATTAGCATGAAAGCCTAAAGTACACACCTCAGCTGCAGTACACAGCCCGCATGAGGCCTTCACGCTGCACGCCTGCAGGCACCCTAAACCCCTAAACCCAAAAACACAGTACCGGATAACCGATTGAGTACGCGCGCGTACGCACACACAATGACAAAAGCAACTTGTTTCAATGCCACTGCATCTGAATGGCAAAGAAGTTGCACATATAACGAGAGTCCTCAGTCTTATTCCGTCGCTTGTTGCAGTGAAGCAAAGACCTGAGGTAAGAGCTTCCTACAGTAGCTGGCCCTCTCCCCCTACCTACAGGCCTCGTGAGCACAAAATTTCAGGGCCTGGGCTGTGGAGGAAGCGGCAGGCTGAGGCGTGTTGCAGCGCACCTCGTTGCAGCTAGTGATGCATAGCAGGCTCACAGCGAAGCTTTCTTTGCTGCATACTTATCTCTGTAGACATTTGTTGAGCATTTGTGTTTGCTTACAAGCAGCACATCAACGCCAATTGAATATTCCTATATTAACCTCTGGCAGAGCACGCTACACCTGTGCTAGCTTCATGCTGATGCGCCTAGTACAACAACGCAGGATACTAGATACAAGCGTTGAGTACGCTTGAGTGAAACAATGAATATTAATTCGTTGTTTTTAAACTATTTTATTTCATTTCATGTTTAATTTTATTTTATTTTAATATTTACTGCAATGGGCGGCTCCATCGTTGTCTTAGCGTCTAGCGGGATCGCCAGCACAGCTTGCTGCTACTTGCACCTGCCTATACACCCCGCGCGCATCGGCAGTTCTGTATACTTTTTGAGTGCCAGTTTACTTTATTGAATATTTTATGTTCTTTTTTCTCTTTTCTGCAGTGCATCCTGTGCAAACTCTCAGCTAGCAACGAGGCATTGCTGCGGGGCTGTGGCTGGGAGCCCCAGAGCAGCAGCAGCAACAGCTAAACTAAGGCTGCTGTTGCTGCCTGTGCGTTAACCTGAAATGGAATATAATCTTGGGTTGTGATCATCGTTCTCTTTTTTTTGTTTCTTCTCTTGCTTCAGTCTCTGTATATCGTAGCTGCTGCTTCCTTGTCTGGTCCTGCTGCTGCCTGCTGCTGCTGCTCTCTAGCTGCTCCTCTCTCGCTTATACTCTCGTTGCAGCAACAACTGAAATGGCCTCTCCCCGCCTCTTCTCTCTCTCATCTGCACTGGTGGCCGCAGCAGTAAGGCGGCTCCCAGAGGCTTGAAGGGGTTCGCAGCGGCTGCTCAGTAGCAGCAACTGTTGCAGCAGAAGCTGCAGCAGCAGCAGCAGCTGCAGCAGCAGCAGATCACCACGACCTGCTGCCCTCTAGAAAAACCTCTCCTTCGTCTCTTGCTTTTCCTGTACACTGTATCGACACGCAGCGGCTGCAGCAGCAAAGCTTTTGTATTGTTTCTGTGTTGCAGTTATTCTTTCTTTTACTGCTTCTTCTCTACACTCCTTCTCTTCCTTAACCAACTGCTACTCATCCTAATGCTTATGACTCCCTTGCTGTTCGCAGCCCAATGCAGAGACTGCAGCAAAGCTCACTGAAACAGCACCGACGCTCATCGCAGCAGCAGCAGCAGCAGCAGCAGCAGCAGCGGCAGCAGCAGCAGCAGCAGCAGCAGCAGCGGGGCGTATTCCGCAGCAGCAGAGGACCTCCCCACCACCACAGTGTTTCTCTTCTTCTTGCCGTAAGAATTTAAAAAACTCTTTTGATCTCTCCTGTTGAGACCTGCTGCTGGGTTAGCAGCAACCGCATACACCTGGGGTGTATGTACAGCAGGCAGCAGCAGCAGCAGCAGCAGCAGCAGCAGCAGCAGCAGCTTCTACTTTCTCCTCTCTCTCCTCATTTTAATAAAAACTAAAAGCAATGGTGGACGCAGCGGTTCCTTCTTCGCCTGCACCTGTTGCTGCGGCGAATCGTAGCAACAGCAACAGCAGCAGCAGCAGCCGTACCAGCAGCAGCAGCAGCAGCAGCAGCAGCAGCAGCAAGTGCAGCACAACAACACGTGGTGTATTAGCGCTGAATAGTTTTAAAGAGTTACTAAATACAAACAAAAAAGAAATAAAAAAAGAAGAAATAGATATATTTGGCTGGGCCCTCCCCCTCATCACCACCACCAACCCCCCCCCTTTCTGCATTCCCCAGGAACTGCTTTCTTTCCATCCAAAGGAAACTGATATCTATAAAATTTTCTTTAAAGATACTCCTGTATGTATATATATATATATATATATATATATATATTTATATTTATATTAATATATATTTGTACTTGTATGTATTGAATGTATATGAACATATAGAAATGTCTATAACCCTAAACCCTACAACATAAACCCTCGTATACTTGTGTTAGACGCCGTATATATATATATATATATATATATATATATATATATATATGCTCTAGTGTCTCTGCTGCTACTGCTGCTGCTGCTTATAGTGCTACTGCTGCTGCTGCTGCTGCTGCTGATAATGCTACTGATGCTGCTGCTGCTGTTGATGCTGCTGTTATCGTTTCTGCTGCTGCTGCTGCTGCTGCTGCTGCTGCTGCTGCTCTCTCTTTTAATCCTTTGACTGTATCCTTATTCTTTGCTTGAGTTATTGTGTTTCTGTTTTTGCTGCTGTTGTATTTGTACTACTGCTATTCCTCTGTTTTTTCTGCTGCTGCTGCCGCTGCTGCTGCTGCTGCTGCTGCTGCTGTTGCTGCTGCTGCTGTTGCTGCTGCTGCTGCTGCTGCTGCTGCAGAAGGAAGTCCGTATTCGTCAGGTGTTTCTACACACAGAGCTGACGGAGCAGGAGCAGCAGTGGCTTGAGGAGCTGCGGTGTCTATGCAGCTCAGCTAACTGGAAAATTCCGCTTTTCTTAGAGCCGATGCTATTGAGAATCATTTGGCTAGCTTATAGAAAATGGGGAGATAATATAA